ACTGACAACACAAAGACTGAGCCTGAGTTCAAATGAGTTGGCTCGTCGGCGCCTGTTCACAGCGCAGACTTAAAAGGCCTTGACGGCAGACTGTCTGCAGATGGAGAGTGTTTTCCAAACTTAAAGAAAATTTTGCTGCTTTGATTTACTACTAAATAAAGCATGTTTCCCGTGAGACAGAGATAAAGGGAGGAATGTGCATATACAACAAAGCAGGTGAAAGTTGAAAAAGTCTGCTCTTGCAACATCACTCTTTACAACATATGAGGATGTGTAATTATTTAATTCAAGGATGCTTATTCTGTGGTCATAAGGGGGGGAAAAAAGATCTTAGCGCAGCATTTTCGACCACTGGTAAAAGCTCCTCAGATACTTTATTAAAAGCAAAACAAGTGCCGGGTATTTGTAATCGACACCTTCAAGGAAACCAATCAAGTGCTTGACATGTTGCTCCAGGGTCTGATCCAGGGTGACACTTTTCTGTAAACTCCCATCAGAACCACTGCAGGTTGAACAAGAACAAAGAACCGGCCAAGTTGGTCAACCAGGACACAGATGCTGCATTTAGATTCAAATCAGAACACAATTCTGCGTCACTATGCATCAACGCATAATTTGACACTGAGAAAAGCTGTTGCTGTCAAGTACAACAGAAGGAAGCCAGAGAAACCTAATAGTGTGCTTGTTTAATATACTTAGCTGCTTAGAAACCACTTTTTCAAAGACTTTGACTATAAAAGTCAAATTGGAAGTAGAGAAAGGGACAATAATTGATGTTTCTCAGGTGGTTGAATAACAGCTGGTGAGAAAAGAAACAAGGGGCGCGGCCATGACCCAAGAGAATTGTTTGCACAAAGAGACAATAAAATCAAGTTAAAATGTCAGCCTCCGTTGTGGAGAGGGACCAAACAATGAGAAGCTCACACTCTGCGAACCATTTCATGTTAACAATTGCTGCATGAAATGTGTGTGCCTGTAAGAATTATGCATAGTGATGCGTGAAGGTCAACACGGGAGATGCTGACATTGCCCACTTTTTACTGTTCGTGGGGAATCTATATCGTTATTAATTAAGTTAACAGTTGGAACACCTCCGGGACTTGGATCTGTTGAATTATCAGTACAAATGATGAAAATTTACGAGCCTGATTTGATAGATAAAAACGGAACCAGGTGTCCCAGGGTACATTTGGGAATCAACGGGCACACAGCTATGTTGTGTACCAAGTGGCGGCTTCAGTATAGGTTGTTCGTAAAATTTTAAATAACATCTGCTGAGACATCACTTTTAAAGTCTGGGTTCGTCTTGATTCGGGTGAATTCAGCAACTGTAATAAACTCAATGAGATGTGTAAATGTGTAGATTTGTAGTGACCAGTAAATGAGGGGTTTGATGTTGAATCGTGATTTGGCCTAAACTGTCATGTGCATTGAACATGCTGTAAATCTTATTCATGGTTCATTCTGCACACACAACCTCTATTGCCCCCTGGCCATCCTGCTCCCCCCGAGGTTTTATCCTTTTTATGCCAGTTGAAGGTTTCTTTTAGGAGGGTGGGGGCGGGGGGGTCTTTTCAGCGCCGATGAGACGGTTCCGGGTTGAGGATGTTGCATGTGTTCAGATTGAAAAGCCCTCATGATTTTTGGCTATAGAAAATGAATTCAATTGAATCACTTACAGTAACCCCAGACCATCTGGTCCTTAAATTATCACAAGTTTCACAGTGAAATAACTATGAATAACTTTGATCCCCATGTGGCAGGTGACCTGGACGTGTGTGTCTGACCAAATCCAAAGAAAGAAAAAAGAAAACCACCAGATACGGTTTTGTCTTGTGAGAACTTTAAGTGTAAGATAGACATAATTCCAAAAGTGTAGATATTATAACCAATGTTTCATACATACTGCTAGTTAACTGATGATGAAAGGTTACTACTACCCTTTAAATGTGTGCGTCTCATCTTGAACTTAGATGTTTTTAACGCATGTTCCCTCTCCCAGTTCTTTTAAGCTTCACTTCACAACCTCGCTTCCCAAACTTTGCCTTTGCCTCACCAGGCTGTTAGGTGTTTCAGCTTTGTGGGCAGAGCAGAGGCATCAGCAATAGGATTATGCTGAAAAGCCAACCATCTTAAAGAAGGCAAAAGCTCTTGAAAAAATGCCTCGTGGTTACCGAAGGCTGTTAAATTATCCACCGACCAAAGTTTAAGAGGAGGAGGCTCTTTAATGTAAAAGGCTTTGGTGGGGTTATCTGCAGATGGTGCATTGCATATGCAGTCTGGCTCCATATTTAATAGAATAGAAGAAAAAAAAAACATGCAGCAGTTTACTTTCCCAGCTGACAGGTTTGGCTCTGCTGAGCTCTTTGCTGGTAATGAATGGACGCCTTCAGGTGATTTACAGCTGTTCTTCACTTGGATTAATTTCTAAATCCCCATCACAGTTGTTGTCTGTAGGTAGCCTAACAATGAGGGGCATTGACACACAGGATAATGCATGAGTCACACATCTCCATCTCCATTGTTTCAGGATAGTATCATGCACATGTCTCTTGGTTGTTGATTCCATCCGTAAACCAGAACTAATGATGACTTCTCATAGTCAATGCATACTCCCTCCTGACATTTGATTCCTGTATAGATTTGTCTGTCCTCTCTCTGCGAATCTGTGACCTCTTCGAGTGACACTTCCCAGATGGTGTGCAGATCATGATGCAACACCTAGTCGACTGGTGTCGGTCTTTGTCTGGGATGCCATGTTTTTAACACATTCCTGCTGCGCCGAAGGCTCAAGTTGCCTGCAGATCTGCCACTTTGGCCCAACTGTCACTCAGATAGACAGTAACGACTTCGCTAGGTCACACGGTGCACATCCACTCATCTCAAGCAATTATAATTGGACAGCCAACCTTTCTTGGGACAGTGGCACAATCTGAAGACCCGTGTCTATGCCGTGCAGCAGTATATTGTGCTAAAGCAGACATAAAAGTATTTCATTAGACTGAAAGGGGACCATAAAGGCCATTCTAGATACATTATTGCATTATTATTGCATAATAAGCAGCCAGATTTTCCAAAAAAGCATGCAAAATGATTAATAAAAAGATTCTCAAAATGTATTTTCAAGTGCTGAATCATTTAAAATTTAACCAAGCAAAGGGAGTTCTGTTTTCTGTTGTAATTATCGAGTGACTTTCTACATTAACATGGTTCTTACCCTAAATAATGAAGGTGTCATGCCAGAATGTGCACGTCATTCATTGTGCAAAAACAAATCCTCCATTTGGTTTTACTGTTTTTCCTCCACGGTAATTTGTCATAGAAAGGAGATAGATACAAACATCCTGTTCTGTGAGGCGATACTAGTAGAGAGAAACTCCCCTGAGCTAGATGTTACTCCCCTGAACTATTCGTTTCTGGGTCTATAGTTGTCCTCCCAAGTAACAATGCCATTTGTCACTGTCAACAGCTGGTACAATACCTCCCTTCATGAGGGAGCCTCTATGGAAACTACTGTGCATTAATGAGGGTGGAGGAACTATGTAAGTGGCTGTCGTTGACTAGTGGGAGCTTTAATTTCTTTGGGGAATATGATTGGTTAGTATGTGCTTGATGTAGTATTGTGTTCTCATGTTGTGCATTCACGCACACCGTGCACATGAAAAGTTGACTCTCCCATTATGCCTTGAAGCGATTGTGAGGAGCGGTTTGGATGATGAAGCGTAATAACCAGAGTGCTTACTGTCCTGTATTTCATCAATCAACAAAAATCTCATTATGTTTAAACACACTAGCTTGAATACATTTCTCGAGCTCTTTTAGATGAACCTCATTAGGCAAAGGTTGATTTTCTCTTCCCCCGTTTATTAGAAATCTACAGTAGTCCAAGTTTTGAAATCTTCACAAATGCTGCAGTGCCTTTAAATAAAAGTACAAACCCCAACATCTCTAAACTTCAGGAGTAAACAAGGGAACCAATTTGAGCAACTGCAGTAACTGAACTAGAATAACAACAAATGCATCAGTAACAGCACAACAAGGGGGATCATTAAGTATTTCACTAGTTTTCAAAGGAGCTAAAAAAAAAAGAGTACAAAGCCTTGATTTAAAGAGATAAAAGTAATCAAAACAGTCTTCCTAGCGCCAAATGGCTTGCTTCTGGCCTGTTCTGTAGCAGAAGGATTCCACTTATTCCCTCTGAGCAGAGCACAATGCTGGGAACAAGAATAGAGCTCCATAATAGCTGAGATCGCTCACTGGTGCCCCAATTATATGGACAGAGCTGTTGCCCTGGGACATGACTTAATGACCATAATAAGGCTTGTCTGTCTGTTCAAAATCAGCTTAGAGTGCATCCACGCTGACCTACAGCATCACTCCAGCAATAGCTCAATTTAAAACAGGCAGCACGAGAAGGATCAGGGTGTTTTGGTGATATAGGTGCGGGGACACGTTGGGGACTCTCAGCAGTCCTGACGGCGCCTCTGGTTGACTTATCGGCCTTGATGGGGATCAATCCGGACTTGAGCATTTCTTTTGGCTGCGGCTGCTCTTTAATTCAGTATGGCTCAGCTGCTCTGTGATTAATGACAGGTACTTGGCTGGGAGACTGGTCAATAAAAGCACTGGTCCAGGAACTTAATACCAAGTTATAGGCCTGAAGGAGAAACCGGCTCCATGAGCACCACCCACGTTAGATGGTGTTGCAATGAGCAGAGTGGAAGGAAAAGTGAGCCCCAAAACTTTTTTTTTGTGGGGGGGGGGGGGGGGGGGGGGGGGGGCCCTTTGCTCTCTCGCGAGAAACAAAAAAACAAATGTATCCTGACAAGATAACGTGGATGTAATGGATGATGCAGGACTTAAATGCCTGATAAAGCTTCCCCCTCCTCCTCCTCCTCCTCCTCCACCACCACCTCCTCCTCCTCCTCCTCCTCCTCCTCCGGCGATAAATACAAGGTATACGCATTCACACTGCTTTCAGTCCCAGACGATTCAAGTGCTTCTTGGCTCCAACAGAACACGACAACTACACTAAGTACCATCCCTCTGTTCGTCTCATCACCGCAACACAAACACAACAGTGGTGAGGGGGGGGAAGTATCCTCTGCAAGGTCACAGCAACGTGCGTCCTCGCGATGGCTGCGGGCGTTCATGAATGTGCGCCGCGAGGGCTTCTCTGCGGGGGCTGCTGTTACAATACTGACCTCCAGTGTGCGCACGGACGGAGCGAGCGGGTCGTCCTCGTTGAGTGTCTCCGCAGTTGTCACTCATCTCCGACTCTGTCCATTAGGGAAGGGCGCACGCCCGCTTTTTCGTATCTGGCTGCTGAAACAGACCCTGAAAAGTCCGCTCGGCGAGGGGAGCCGGTCAGCTGTGCGCCACTCACCCTGACACTGCAGATGGGACTGGACGGGCGCAGAAAGTCCCACGCTGATTTAGTTTAAGGTGGCTAAATCACCGATCAACTTTCGCTCGTCTCATCTCTTCCAATAGTCGCCTATTTCCTCTCCGCTGAGGAGCAAGTTCTTGGTAGGTTGGTTTTTTTTTTTAAAGGAAAAAAAAAAAGGAGACACGTGGTAGTTACAAACCCTTCTCAGGACGCAGCGGGGACGCGGAGGAGGAGGAGGAGAGAGATGCGGGCGCAGTCAGGATGGAAGAGGACGCATTGAGGAGGGAGTCCGCTCCCCAACTATGGAGATTCTACTGCGGAGCAGCCGCGCTCTTTTGGAATAAGGGCTTAATAATGCGTTATCTGCTTTTCTCCCTCTTGTTTTCCAAAGGACACACTTGCATGCAGGAAAGAGCAATATCGCAGGTGAGGGGAGAAGAACAACCCGATTTGCAGTAGATTTCTGTAGTGAAAGACGCACGGAGGTCTTTATGCGATGCTTCTATAAAATATTCACATTTTACTTAAATTAAAATCATATCTTTACTATTATTAACTCAAAATGGATTTTTTGAATATCTCCATCCTGGAGGATGGTATGAATGCAGAAAACATCTCCTCTAATGTTACCTCCCAGAGCAAGTACAGCCAGCTGGCCATCTGGGGACTGGCAGGACTTGTCAGTTTTCTGATTTTGTTTACAATAGTCGGGAATGTCTTGGTTGTTATTGCCGTTTTAACAAGCCGAGCTCTGAAACCGCCCCAGAATCTCTTTCTCGTGTCCCTGGCCAGTGCGGACATCCTGGTGGCCACCCTGGTCATGCCTTTTTCTCTGGCAAATGAACTCATGGGTTACTGGTTTTTTGGAAAAATCTGGTGCGACATCTACCTGGCTCTGGACGTTTTATTCTGCACCTCTTCAATTGTTCACCTGTGTGCTATCAGTTTGGACAGGTACTGGTCGGTGACACAGGCGGTAGAGTACAACCTAAAGAGAACGCCTAAAAGAGTTAAAGGGATGATCGTGGTGGTGTGGCTGATCTCGGCCGTCATCTCCTTCCCGCCGCTGATATCAATGGACAGGAGCAGCAGCGAGGACAGTCCTCAGTGCATCCTGAACGATGAGACCTGGTACATCCTCTACTCCAGTATTGGCTCATTCTTTGCCCCCTGTGTCATCATGATCCTGGTCTATATTCGAATCTACCAAGTTGCGAAGACCAGGACCAGAACAATGTCAGGGAAGAAAAGGGATGTGGACTCGCCGTTGGAGAATGGGATGGAGCAAGCCGAGCCCGGCCGAGGAGGTTCCTTGAAGTCCAGCAAGGAGGAGAGCATCAAGGAGCAGGAACGTGGGAACGGACACTGCAAGGAGCAGGCCGTCCGATCCCCTCTACCAAACGAGCCCAAACGTCCGCCGACAGACCACGACGACGACTTCGAAGACAGCAGCTCGTCAGACGAGAAACCCAAGAAAGGTTCCGCTTCCTCCAAACATCAACACGACGACAGAAAAGACAGGAAGTCCAGCCGAAAAAGCAGCTCGGCCTCTAAATACTCCAGCAGGAAGTCTCGTGCCAGCTCCAAGTCCATGGAGCTGTTCTCATCTCGCCGGAAACGCCGGAGCACCGTCAACAGGAAGAAAGTCTCCGCCGCTCGCGAGAAGCGCTTCACCTTCGTCCTCGCCGTCGTCATGGGTGTTTTCGTTCTGTGTTGGTTCCCGTTCTTCTTCTCCTACAGCCTACATGGGATCTGCCGGGAACCGTGCCAGATCCCCGAGACGCTGTTCAAATTCTTTTTCTGGATCGGATACGTTAACAGCTCGTTGAACCCGGTCATCTACACCATCTTTAACCAGGACTTCCGCAGAGCCTTCCAGAAGATCCTCTGTAAGTCGTGGAAACGCTCTTTCTGAATGCTTCCTGCACGGACGGGGTTTGTAAAAGACATTTTATCTAGCTGGCACAATTTCTAACTGCGATAAGATGGTAGTGCTGTCCCGGAGGGCTTCTCACGATTTAATGTTCAGGGATTGTACTAGAAATGAAGAGAGGATTGATCAACGGTGCAGAAAAAAGGTTAACAGTGCAAGCTGCTGTTCAAAGAGGGGACTTTCATCCGACGCCCCTCAGGCAGCCGTTGGACTCTGAAAAGGCTTACGGCTCGTTTCCACCTCCTCATTGACTCCTTCTCCCTTTGCTGAAATACAACGAACCCACTCGAAACAGTTACTGTGAGCACAGTGGTTGAGCATGGATGAACCGCTGTGAAAGTAAAGGCTTTTAAGAGACACTAGATTTAAATGTGACCTCATTCATGTACATTATATGCAGGCCCTGACGATCTGCATACAACCGTTGCTTGTGACATTAGATAGTGGGATCCATCCTCGCTCTCTGTCTCTCACTCCGTTTTGTCTACCTTTCTATGAAATCATAGTCTCAACATATGGACCAATGGGACGAAGGGGCTCCTTGCTTACTGTTTCAGTAGCAAAAAAGATGAACTAAAATCATAAAACAAAGACTCACTCTTGATAACTATAAAGTCATGTTTCTGCATAAGGGTTTTATGTGGGCCAAACATGTCAGAACCACAGTGGAAACTTTTTATCAGGATGTGTGTTTTGTGTGAACTTGTACATGATGCTTGGACTTAGTGTTGATACAGTAGCATGTGGCCCTGTGAGAAGATAGAGGGACTACAGAGGTACTGCTGAGGCAAATGGCCACCTGCTGAAGTGTTCACTGTGTGTGTGTGTGTGTGTGCGCGTGTGTGTTGAAGACAAAGTGTATAACAGTAAAATCTCCATGGCTATCAATTGAGTTAGAGAGTGTATCGCATCTCATCCAGACTGCCAAATAGTGATTGTCTCTGTGTGTGTGTGTGTGTGTGTGTGAGTAAGGCTGCATTCTCAAAAGGTCTTAATCTTCCTCATCAAGTGTCTTTCTATTGTCCACTATGCGTCTTTTCTCTCCCTAACAGCCACAAAAAGCACTTGACCACAGAAAACCACCACCCTAAAGTCTGCAGCTCACACATACATTATTAAACAAACAAAGACATACAATTACGTATTTCATCTTTACAGTTCAAAGATGTATAGCCATAAGGGCTAATGGTTTTTCATGTGTAAATAGAAACAGAACAAAGTGCAGTATTATTGTGTAATACACATGTATCAATATGCTTAAAATGTATTGTTTGTGTAATGAACAACGCTTTGAAAGATTTTCATGTTACATCAACCTCTGTCCTTTTCTAAAAGAGCCAGTGTTTACTTCCTTCTGCTTTGAGCACATTCAAGAGATCAAATAAAGAGATTCAACAGTTGAAGAAAATTGCAAGATTTCACGACTGCATTCTTCATTACTGTATGTTTGTGTAAATGCATGTATATATATATATATATATATATATATATATATATATATATATATATATATATATATATATATATATATATATAAAGTTATAAGTTATAAGTTAGTTATATAAGTTAACGTGTTATTACCGGGTTAAGAGATTACTTAATTCATTAATAGTTTCCCCTTTTATACAATTATTTTATTGCACAATAAAGTAATTGTATATTGTTTATAAAGGGAAACTAATTCAACAAAATGATTAAAAAAGCATTCATGCATGGATAAATCGGCTGTGCATTAACAAATACAGGGCTGTGATACTGGTCTACAATAAATCAGACTTTAATTGTTGCACGTTACACACCCGTTACACAGGACAAGTGAGTGGGGGACTAAAATCATGTGTTGAATTTCAACAATCATCAAAGCTACAAAGTTCCATTTACAGATATAAGCACCAAAACCGGCAACAACCAATCAAAACAGTTGTTCCTTTAAAATGCATTACATTCTTCTAACTTTACCGTTATGTAATCAATAGTGTTGCATAAGATACCAAATAAGGTCCCTATAAATGAACACATTTTTAACATGGTGGGTGGTTTGAAGGACTTGGGTCATGTTACAGGTTCTTGGTTTGGGTTCCACTGAATGACACCATCAACGATGGAATAAAACAGACCTGTTGTAATCCTCCCAGCCTCCGCTATTTGAATTTATAGTTAAAGTGAAAATCACTCATGCTGACACAGTAGACAGCTTGTGCACTTTTGTAATAAATTTGAAAAGATTGGACTTCACTGTCCGCAAATAGTTTTGAACTTGAAAGCATCTTTTTTTCAAATAAACCTCAAAAAAGAAAATACTCAAACATTTCTGAGCTGCTCTGTAGGCAGCAGGACAAAGTGAGGCTTTACAGTTTACGCACTAATGTGATCAAAGTCAAAATCACATTCAAAACACAGACATATGAGCCTTCTGTGTGATGTTTGGACTCCCCGCGCATTTCATTACGTTTTCTGCCTCGGCTTTTTAATTTGGTTTACCAAAGTTCTACTCTGCAGTAAACACTATTTTTCTCCTGTTGCGATCTCCTACCTTCTTAAATATTGTAAATAAAAACCATACCTTTTCTTTTCTGCCAGTGCATTTATATACCTGGCAAAGAGGTAACTGTTGTTGTTTTGTGTACTAACCACATGTGTAGTTGTGCTTCCAAAGTTTAATGGGTTAGGAACCCTTCAGACCGGCATCAAAAATAAAATACCCAGCACAGCTTTCATTTATCCATTTATGTTACAACTTCTGCACCTCAAACAAGCGTCAGAAAGAATCATCGGGCAACTGAAGTAATAGAGAAAAATCACAAGCAGTTAATGTATGTATGAGCAAGAACTGCGATCCGTAAAGCCACAGCTTTTACTGAAATGTTCCGTATGTAGATGTGTATTTACTGTATGTATGAGCAGGAAAACACAGCTCAACAGAGACCCTCCAATTCAATCAGAGGTCAGATTCTGGTCAGAGTGTAACAGAAACACAAATAATTTCTTCCACATCCCTCCTGCCTCACACCTATTTATTTACCCCCGTCTACGATGAAGCAGAATGGATTCTGTCATCGCCGCCTTCCCTTGTGTGAACAGCGAGTGTTAATGGCATGCTGTATATCAGCGGGTCACATCTACAGGCCACTGGACGTTTGCACCTGTGCTACAGCTCTGAAAATGAACGCGTTGGACGACCTTGAAATGCACAGTTACTCATTCCACCTCATGTATCCTCTTACCTGCGGCCTTTGAAAATGCTCCTGGGCTTAAGGGTCGGGGAAGGAGGGCAAAATACGTGTTTTCTTCATCATTAGCACTGTATTTACCCAATTGATCTGAGAACATCGTACATTACTATAACGGAATTTGAATCTTACTGCTCCGATATGATATTACCACCTGTTAAAAAAATAAAGTGAAATATATTAATGAACTGAGCTAAAACAGCATCCTCCCATAAATACTTAAGTCCTTAACCATGTTGCCTTCGGCTGTTGCATGCAAGGATGATGTCTCAGCCTGACCTCCCAGATCCCCCCGTCTTCTCTGCCTCCATCACACATGTCACAAGTAAACTCACCAGGTCTCCATGATGGCTCAGTGGGCAGAAGTGGCAAATCGAGGATTGGTAAGTATTTCATTGTTGTGCAGCATGTTGAGGTGAATACCCATGAACGTTTTAAAGCTACATTTGCCGAGACATGGTACTGAAGTTTGAATCCGGAACAGATTAGCTTTTGCTTGGAAAGACTTGGAAAGGACAATACTTTTTGACAGTATTTGAGTTGTAGATATGCTGAGCGGAGACGTTTGTGGATTTCCAGAAGAATGCTGCTCCACTCGCCCCCATCACACTGGGTGATTGCCCCCGTCAACGCCGTGGAGTTCTCCCGTTTCCTGAGCTCCATCATAACCCAGGACCTCAAGTGGGGGCTGAACATCAGGTCCATCGCCAAGAAGGCTCGGCAGAGGATGGACTTCCTGGGGCAGCTGAAGAAATTCAAGCTGCCAAAGACAATGATGGTGCACTTCTCTACGGCCATCATGGAGTCCATCCTCTGCTCCTCCATCACCGTCTGGTACGCTGCAGCATTTTATTAGCTCTGCTGAGAGGCTGGTCGGCGGCAATCTGTCAGCCCTCCGGGACTTTCTCGCTTCTAGAAGCGAGCAAGGACGATTGTAGCCGACCCCTCTCACCCTGGACATGAACTGTTTGAGCTCCTTCCCTCTGGCAGGAGGCTGCGGTTCATCAGGACCAAGACCTCCCACCACAAAAGCAGCAGCTCCCCATCAGCAGTTGGGCTCATAAATAAAGCTTGGTCTCTTTATTCTCCACCAAGGTCAAGTTTTGCATAATTGTTCCCACATTCTCTCTGCTTTTTATTTAATATCTAATATACTGGACACTATAATTCATATCTAAACATTATTCTTGTTTCTTGCACTATATTTATGTTTACTGTTGGCATCATCCTGACAACAAAAGATTATGTGCAACATTCATGTCAATAAATAGATCGGATTCTGATTCTCATGAGTCCGAAAAGGATTATGATACATCACTGAGAAGGCAAGTCAGAGGGTGGATGTAGGTGATCTATTCCCTAATCAATGACTGCATCCTATTATTTCTTCTATAAGTCTTCCAAGCAGAGATGGAAAAGACTCCATCTCTTGCACACAATCTGCCTTCAATCTCATACTCCTCACGCTATCTTTCACATGTCTTTGTCTTCCCCACAGTCTCTTCTGAGCTTCTGGTGCATTTGCATTATGGAGCAGGAGAAGTACAACGGTATGTACGCACGCACACATGCATGCATGCATGCTTTTTAACATTGGAGTTGTCATTGGTTTTTTCTCAGTGGAGCAGCACCTTTTGCTTTCTGACAGTGCAGCCAGATGCTCAACTCTGATGTTTCCGCATTATTGCTCTTGCATTCACAAGCTCACACACACACACACAACACACACATTTTATGTACAACACATAGCTAAAGGGAAACAAAAGCAGATATTGTTTTTGTAAAACCTCTTATGTCCACCTATATGCCAAAAAGTACATTTGTTTGGGCAAAAAATATTCTGGACTGAAATAAAGTGCAGAGAAAGGTTATGTATACTAAAGATAACGGCAGTACATTATGGAGAGGCTGAAGGGGAAAGAGACTTTGGGACGAAATCATTTATTTACATATTATTTACTCAACTCCAGTTTCCCTCTGCATTTTTATTTGAGTCTGAACGTTTTGGTTCAAAGCCATGTTAATGACTCTGACAAAGCTGTACTTAGCTGTCAGTGAACACAGTAACAAGCTCACAATGATACTTCTAATTTGCTAAAGGTTAGCAAATATATTTTCCCTGTTCACCATCTTACTGAAAACATCTTCTAGCAGTTGTTACCCGAATGTCTTTACCAAAATCCCTTTCATCTGATAGATGTCAAGGCTGAAAACCACAATGTGAACATCATGGTGGTGCTTCACTCTCTTTATTTATATATTTGATATATTTAAGTCCAAAACAAAGTGGTGGAAAAAACAACAGTACAACAGGGTTTATAGAGTCATGCACCTTTACCGGGCAAAAAAATCAAATCGAGTATAAATAAATATCTTTCCGAAGGAGAAATGTGTCTTAGGAAAGAAGCTGTGTATAAAGAGGAGGGTGTTGTACAAAAGTAAAAAAAAGAAATTGGTATGAGCTTCATCATGGGTGGATTGTGGCACCATATTTCAATGGGATATTTCATCTATAAATGTATTTCTCATGCTCCGTTGTGGTTAATTTGCCTCCATTCCCCAGCAGGCGTACACCCTCAGGGTCACAAGTTTATTTCCCCGCTTTCTGTTAGACTCTATCCATCCATCTCATCCCCCTCAGTCACCATTTCTCTGTCTGCAAAACCAAATGATGCAGAAATTAAATATTACTTGGATTTCTTCAAACAAAGCAAACAGAGCAAAGTGTGTCCAAGTGTGTCCATGGGAGATGATGCAGATCTGATCTTTTTAAGGAGGCGTTATAAGATCAAAGAGATAGCCCCTTTTAATTCACTATTTCTTTTTATATGGGAAATATAGACACTTTACTTGGTATCGAGTTTGTAGAATTTTTAAGGACGTGACTCGCAAGTTAATGGTGAAACATTGGTACAACATCAAAAATAAATGAGACTACTCGCGCAGATCGTTAGCCTAAAAGTCATAACAATATGTTTATTAAATATGCATGATACCAAAGGGTTGCTACAAATCAGACCTGCCGTGTGCTCTTAAGAGGGTTAAACAGCAGTATTTCAGTTTAAACCATTCAAACAAGCAGTTTTGTTTCAAAATATTTTGGCAAACAATGCACACATCAATATAATAATGATGTCTCTTAATTACTGTGTTAATGTTGTCTAATTGTATTCAGGACAGTCAT